AATGATTGCAGTAAGATATACAGTCCCAACTTGGTACTACTTTATAGTATGTTCACTTTACTCACTGAGGTTTATGCCTAAAGTCTGACATGTGTTCACAGATATGTATATATCAGCTGTGCTTGCTATTAAAAGTTTTTAGATTAAGATCTTTAGTGAATCAATAAAATGTGAAAAACAAAAAAAGGCATGAAAACAACTGTAGATACCAGAAATAGTGTGGGAGGGTGGGAAATGGCAGAGGGTGAGAGGTAGGGAATCAAAGAGGAAAAAAAAAAAAAAAGAAAGAAAATATGTAAGAAACAAGAAATGGAAAATTATTTGTTGATGATAACATGTATGGTAATATCCTTGATTGAGCCAATATATAGTGTATTCTGGATAGAAAATCTCATTTTGTATACTGTAATACTATACAGTGAATGAAGTAAACAAATAAAAAGAAGAAAATCTCTCTGCTAAGGTGAAATTTCAAGGAAACAAGAAATAAAGATTTCTGAGAGAAGATTCAAGAACAAGAAAATTTCAGTGCTATTTAGTGTTGTGTTCTACTGGGTTGTCAGGAAAAGTAATGCATTTGTGCATAGAAAAATACATCATGACTTTCTTGACAACCCATTACTTAAGCAACTATAAGCAAATTACATTACTTGTTCTTAGGAACTGTTGCTGTAATTCATTCAGCATTCTGATATGTCCTAAAGAAATGATTACTGGGCTGGCAGGTGGCATGTTGGTTAAGGGCGCTGGACCCCCACATGGCAGACCACGGTTTGAGTCCTGGACCTGGCGGCTTGCTTTCTCACTTTTTCTCTCTTGCTCACTCTCTCATTCTGTCCCTCTCTGGTCAAATTAAAATAAGGAAATAAAGTTAAATAATTGTTAAAAAAAAAAAAAAAAAAAAAGAAATGATTATCTACCTTAAAGCTAAGAACTCATATAGTTTCCTGAAAAGACTTTGGAACCACTGCTAAAAGACTAAGAAAACCTGACAATTCTTGGCAGCCAAGTAGAATACCTATAATCTGCTAGAATAAATCAGACATACACTAATGGGAAAGATCTTGGTAACTTTCATATTCTTTTTATATATTGTATGTTTTTTCTTATTTTTGATTATGCATCACTATTTTAAGGAAAAATAAAGCACAGAGCAAGTTATGTATAATTATATAGATTATGTTATCATGTACCTTGCTATATGGCATACATCATAAAATACAGATCAAATGTGATTAGCCCCAGGCTTAATTCAAAGCAAAGTATAGTTAGTATTTCTAGATTAAATATTAAAATGTGACTATTGTAATTAGAACTGAACACAGCTTGGTTTGTCAATTACACTTAAGTAGAAAAAAAAGACACAATTTTAAGCCCAAAAGGAGTCTTAGTGACTTGCTACCTATCATTTTATTGATTATTGATATTCTTCCAGTATTTAAAAAATATATAGACCAAGATTTAGAAATTTGTTTTTGAAAACTTTGGAGTTAGGGAGCTACATTCAGAGAAGAATTTCTAACTTTTCTTCAAAGGTATAAGGATATCTCTATCTCCTCTGTCAATACCTGAAAGTCCATGTGGAACCAGCATTTTTGTAATCTCAAGGGTGTTAATATGGAAGACTATAAAGTGGACACAACAAAATATACATGAAGAACCTAAAAAACTCATCGAAAGTGATTACTATAAAAAACTATGAATGAATTTCAATATTTTTTTGGTACCAAATAAACCTGCAATCACTTGTTAAAGCATGTCTGAAAAGGATTTAGTTTGAGGCACTAAGAAGGATAAAACATTGGTTAAGAAGAACCCAAACAGAGCAACATGACTTCTGCCAAAGTTGAAGCAAGAGCACTCATCAAATTATGATGCTCAAAAGAGTGGTGAGAGGTTAATTCACTGATGTTTTACAAAAGCTTTACAGGAACAATGCCCAAACATATCAACAATTCACATACGAATAACACTTTTTAAGAGGGATAAGTTGATTTTGAAGATAACATGCCCAGCAGCAGACCATCACATAAATTTGTAAGAAAAGACGAGTCACAACAGAAATGACAACCAACACCATAGACATCTCAATTGGTTCCATTTTATGACATTTTGCCAGAAAATTTATAGTTGAGCAAACTTTCTGCTCTACTGGTGCCAAACAGTTGAGCCCAAACCCACTGCAGAGAACAGAGTTTTCAATGGAAACTTGAAACAAGTGTGATCAAGAGCCTCAAGAATATTTTCAAGCTATAGCAGGAGATACCAATAGCTTTACCAGTAAGATCCTAAGATGAAGCCCAAATAATGCCTACTTCGAGGTGGAAGTGGTATAAAGAGCTGACTGGTCAAGAGCAAAGTTCATAGCAAGTTTTTTTGAGTACTCGAGACATTTAGCTTGTAGACTTTCTGGAGCGCCAGAGGACACCACCACCTGCTTATTACGAGTGTTTTGAGAAAGTTGGCTGAAGTGCTGGTAGAAGAAAACGTCCAGGAAATCTTCACCAGAAAGCCCTTCTCCACCATGAAAATGCTCCTGTTCATTCCTCTCATCCAACAGGGCCATTTTTCATAAGTTTCAATGGGAAATCATTAGGCATCTTCTAACTTCTTGGGGTTTTTTTTGAGAGGTTTTTGCTATAGGGTACGTGCGGTCCCCAGAAAGACCAGAGAGACAGAAAGCGAGAAATCATCCCCTGGGGGGATGGCCACGCCACAATCCCTTCCTCCTCCATTCTCCTCTCGGGATCTTGGGCACACACACACATGCCCAGTGTGAGTTTTAAGCCACCGGGTCCAGGACTCGAACTGCAATTGACTACATGGGAGTCCAGCAACATAGCCATTACGCTAACTGCTGGTCCCCCCTAACTTGTTTCTTAATTGAAAAAAAAAAAATTAAAGGGCACCCACCCATTGGTTCAGCTAAAAATGCAAAAAAAAGACTGTGTTGACTTGGTTGAATTCCCAGTTTCCTCAGTTCTTTAAGGATGGACTACACGGCTGGTGCCAATCACAAAACTGTCTTGAACTTGATAAAGTGTATGCTGAGAAATAAAGTTTATATTTTTTATCTTTTAATTCTACTTTTCAGCTTTTTGAAGTCTCTTGATGTACCTTAAAACTTCATTAAGATGCATACAGCCTCAATAGATTTTTCTGTGTCACCAAGAGGCTCAGTGTGTAATGGCCTCAGAATCCCAAAGGCAGGATTCATCTGGTTGTAGAATTTGCTAATTTTCTCCTTTCCTCTTGTGCTTCCTTCTACTTCCTTAGCCTTCAAATTAAAACCAGCCAATTTAGACTATCAGGTTACTCTGGTCCTATTACTGGTAATACTATCCATTCCCAAGCCAATCCATTTTGAATACCTTAAAATTATATAGTTCTCTGAAGCAGATGCAGCTTGTGTCCTCTCTTCTCAAAATTAAAAAAAGAAAAAGAAAAAATGATTGCTACTTTTATATGTTGACAAAATAAGGTTTCTGGGTAAAGAAAATGTAAAGATTTTGAACTGTGCAGTTTAGTCTGCTATCACCTGTTAGTTAATATAACTAAAGCTATCCAATTTAATAATCTCTACAAAATATTTTATTTCCACCTTCCCTCCCCCACAAAACCCCAAAGAACATTAGAAATGTAAGCAACTTAGAACTCTGTTCTAAAAAGAAATCAAGTAAGAGCCGCAGACTACAGGTAACTGGCCAGAGGTTTCCACACTTGGCTGTTGACAATCAGGTAAAACATGAATGGGCTACAATACAACTTAGACAAAGCAACAATACAGGACTCTCCAGAGTTTCCACTCTATCTACCAAGCTTACACCCTCTCTCCCTCGAAAAACTCACAAATGGGCCCAGGGACAATCACCTGACAGAAAACTGCTACTCAAATGTACTTCCTGGTTCTAAAATTCAAATCTGGTGACAAAAAGGCAAAAAAGCAGCTTACTCCAACAGCACCCATCACTGCCAACAGCAACTGACAGCTGTAAGAGCCTGAGCCCATTTCCCCAACCTGTTAAAACTTACGGGTGAGCATGCACCAAGGCCTAACTGAAACAAACCTCCAGAAATAATGGAACTTTGGAATGCAAGCCAATAGTTTGTTACCAATAACCCCAAATATGCAATGTAATTCATGTTAAAATTAAAATGTACTCCCATCACCACCCCTTCATGATGGCATAATTTCAACTTAATTTATATAACATATACATGTCCTCTCAAGACACATTGTTTTAAAACCCAACTGTTACTGTTTTTCCTAGCTACTTCGGATGTTTTTTCCTACAAGATTTTAGATGTTCTCACAAGTGACACGGGCTGCCATTTTCTATAAAAGCATTAAAAGATTCATCTTTGCTAACTGAAGAAATATGTTATGGCCATTTTCAAGTTAAAACTCAGATGTCTTCTGACTTAGTCCTTTAGAATCTTATCCACTTAAAAGACAATGTGATTCGCAATACACCAAATGAGGCAGAAGCTTCCAAAAGTGTGCATCGCTTCACACAAATCAGATAAGGCTTTCCAAAGCCTAACTTTGTTAAATTTTGGAATTCCTGCTTTCAAGAGTAACCTACTAGAAACTATTCACCAAGTTAAAGTCTTTGTGAAACCTGCAAGACTCTACTGACTACAATTTCGGCTGGTATAGGAAACAGGATTCAAATGTTCGATGTTCTGCTCATACTACAAATCAGAGAACGCTTCAAATCAAATTTTCTCACTTTTCCAACTCACTGTACTGTGAGCTCAAACTTACCTAACCAGAATATTTGTACTGCCGCACTACTCAAAGTTTTCCTACACCGCGATTCCCACTACCCTGAAACAAGCAAGATACAAATACTCTCCTAAATCTCCCGAGCAGGGTGTATTTCCTGATCGAACAAAGAGCAACAAAGGAGTGGGTGGTAACCACTTCTCCAGACAAGCCAGGGCCCATCGAGTCGGAGACAAAACACAAGCAGTAATAGCCCCACAATTCTCATTACCTCTCTTATTTCCCGCGGAGACTACGTTTCCCGAACTCCAAAACCCTAACTCTTACTAAGGAAGTGAGGCCCTTTCATTTGAATCCAGAGGAAAGTGGCGCTCAAAGAACCCGGCGAACAAAGGGGCGGGATGGAGCCCACGTAGCACACCAGCGATCGGGGGGAGCCACATGCCGGACCTGGGCCCCACTCTCACTCACTACTCTCAAGCACCGACCCCGGACTAGGGGTCAGCGGGTGAGACTGGAAGTGGAGAAGGTAGAAAACGCTTGGGCCAGGCAGGACCTAGGAAGCCGAAGAGCCAGCGGGGGCGGGATGGGGGAGGGAGCTGGAGGGGCGGAGCTCTCGCCGCAGCTCTGCTTTGTGTGGAATCGGGGTCCCAGTAGCAACTGCGACTCGGGGGTGGGGCCGGGTGCAGGCCACGACTGGGCACCTCAAACCTGCACTGCCACTAGCGCAGGGCGGGAAGGGTGCAAGGGGGGAGGGGGCTCCTCTTCGCCACTACCATGAAACAGGGGTAGGCCCGCGCCGTCTCCTGGGCGGCCACCTTCGGGGCGGCTGATCGCACAGCCGGAGGAAGCAAGGCAGGAGGCCAGCACCGCGTCCTCCCGACTCCCGCCCGCGGTGTCCTCCGAAGTCGCTCGCGGAGAAGGCTTCCCACTGACGGCGCAGGGTCGGGAACGGGTTAAGACGCGGCCAAACGCTGGTCCCTCCTCCTGCCCCCACCCCCAGCACC